TCAATCATTTTTTTTGATATACATCATTTCCACATTATTGTCATTTATCTTCTTGTCATACTGGCAGGTTAGATGCATCATATGATAAATTTGTGTCCCCAAATGTGATCTAACTGCTTAAGATGTTTGGTGGGACCCATAAATACTACTTACTTATTCCTCGCTTATTTCTACCAACTTATAACTTAGCAACTAAAAAGGAAACCCAAACAAAGGCGATACAGAATTCCTTAGATCCTCTTCTGGTAATAAGAGAAGTAGAGAAAAATAAGTTGTCAGTATCAGCTCCTTAGAGGCCTGGTTTTGAGTTCTACTGAGCCAGAACAGTTGATAGTTATTTCCGGTGCATCTTAAGCCATAAGTTCTGCTGTGGCCCCCAATTAGTTATTGCTGTGTAAAATTGGTATGGATTATTTATTGCTCTAAGAAAGATTAATGAATTATTTTATTTCGAGAGATTATGATCTAATCGTCACCTTTCCTTTTTTCTTTTTTCGAAAAAAAATAAAACAAAAGAATTTACATACGAAACTAAAAATTAAAACTTTTCGATGTGAAAGTAGTAGTAAGTACATGTTCGGCGATCTTCACTATTTTTGAAACTCTTCGAAAATTAAAAGATTTTATCCGGTCATGAGATTGATCATTCATAATATCGTGTAACACAATAAAAATAAATTTAAAAATGATTTTAATATTTTATAATAAAAATTTAACAGAAGGAGGCTGTGAAGTGTTGGTCCTACCGCATTAATGCATTCCCTTATAAATCTGTCCTTGAAAGTTTGAAACTTTGCTAGTTAGGTGATGATGATATGATGATGTCGAATGAACGTCAACTCGACATCATTCAATTCAAACTCATTTCCTTGATAGAATTAATGTCACATTTTCCGTCTATGCTTTAGGTAGCCCATGAATATAGGGAGGTCAGCATGGTGGGACCATGGTGGCCCTCCTCATTTCTTAAGATTTTCTCAAGTCGGGACAGGAATGGATGGGACGAGAACTAAAGTATTTCTTAATATTTTTTCTGTTTTTAACTACTAAAAATAAATAATCGAGACAGGTTCGGGATGAATACCATATTCACATCTCGATCCCCTATTCGTCAAGAGAATCATAAGATATGTGGTTAAAATTAAAATTTGATTAATTTTATAAAATAAAATAAAAAGCATGAAATCTTGTTTCCCTTTGCCTTACTATTTTGACTTCCCCGTCTCTATTAGAGCCGACAACAGCCGACCCAACATGGCCATTAATAAACACCCACCTCCATCACCAAATATCTGGAACTAAAGCAGCTGCTACAAATCATCACATCTCCACTGGTGGTTAATTTCACCAATAACCACTCAAGTTCAAGCAAATATTTAAATTGGTCACTGAAGTTGTGAGGTTTTCCTCTTAAAGTTTTCATTTTATTTCAAAAATCTGTAATTTCATGACATGGACACTNTTTATTTCAAAAATCTGTAATTTCATGACATGGACACTACCGTCTAACTCAATATCGGGCCAAGCGACTTATTACAGTATGTTCTTTAACTTTGGCTACAAAATAGGTCACGAAAATGCTATAACTATCGATTTTTTGAAGTCTTAGTTGAACTTCGCGGACCATTTGTTAAATCAACTCCTACAGGGGCTACCAGCAAAGTGCGTAGGGATTGGGGCCCACTCGTGTACTTTAGAGAGAATTCTTGCCGAATTTTGAAAACTCCACCAGCTGCACTTTTTCACAGTGTGTGAGCATGCGATAATGCCTTCAACTCCAAATCAAGATTCCTGTATTGTAAATTGTGGAAATACTTCTCGGCATGCCATTTTCCACCCCAGTAGTGGGCCGGCTGTAATGACATTCCTTCTCGCTTTGATGCGTCCACAATTTTATTAAATTGGTAATGAAAAAATCTAATTTATAATCTTTATTTATTTTGATCAGAAATGATCTAATGAGCACCGGTGCTCATCTTATCCTAAACACCAATGAGTTGGCACATTAATTCATTGGTGGATTGGAACTCACAAAATCTTTATCCACCAATGAATTAATGTGCCAACTCATCGGTGCTTAGGATAAGATGAG